GGTGGGGGGGGTGGGGGGGGGGGGGGGGAGCGAGCAACCGGCCGGAGCGGCGGAGGGGAGGGGGAGGGGAGAGAGGGACACGACAGCGACCGCCACACCACGCCACACATAAACCGACCATAAACCAGGCGTAAACTCACCCCCCCCTCCCGCGTGTCCCGCGACCCACGGCACACACGCGCGCGCGCGCGCGGCAACCCCGTTCAGTCAGCCTTCTCGGCAGCGCGGGCAGACGACATTGGGGCCAAGACGGCGGCACAGCAGTCGCCGTCGGAGTCTCACGCGGTGCGCGTAGTCAGTCAGTTGTCAGCCCGGCTTCGCAGCGAGCGGACGTGTGTGTCTACGATCGCCCGCATCGTTATATGTATACCTGTTACAGATATACTACGTACTTCGCGCCATCACATATATTATACATATATATATATATATATAGTCGCCGAGCTCTCACGCAGTGCAACGACGCGTACGTGTCGGATCGCTGTCACCCGCGAGAGCGCGGAGTTCAAGTTCACCTCGTTTAAAAGAGGAGGAAGGAAGATTTCCAGTGGCAATTCGATCGTTGTCTTTTTCGGGAGTGCCTCGTCTCTCTTTTTCGTGAGTGTCGCCCCCCCCTAAGGACCGCACGTACTGCACGAGTCTCTTCGTTTTTAATTATTTTTTTTTTTATTGTCTACTTTCGAGTGCACGGCGGATATCACACGAGAGTGCCACGCCGTGTGTCCCACGCCGACTATAAAGTCGCCGAGATTCGTGTTACGGGGACGACTGTTATGTCGCTGTGACAGCGGCGCGCCGGAGGTTCGATGAACGGGGCACTGCGTGCCGTTCCCGTTTCGACGATCGCATCGCGATAGTTACGCGCCTGTGGAAACCGCACACAGGGAAAAACTCTCTGTATACGTTTTGACTGTTCTGCGCCCGAAGGTCGGCAGGATCGACGACAAAGTGGATCGCTGTTCCATCGCGCGCTCCGGATCGACGGAACCTTTCAAGATTGGTGAGTACGAGCTTCCTCGACCCCCACGTTGGCGAAAATCTTTCAAGTGATCTTTCGAAGACTCGAACCTTTTTGTGTCCATCGTGCTGGAGATCCCTCGGAATCCTCCGAGTCGGATGACGAAGGAATTGCAATCGCATCGGTCAAATTGTGTGATTTGGCCGAACTGTTCGTTCTAAAAAAAATACCGGTGTGAATTCAGAATATGTGTCCGCATATAATTCTCACCGTGTTGGTATATTATTAATATTAACATCAACATGGGGTGGATTTGTAACCATAACCCCTGGTGTTTATATCAGCGTATTCATGGTATGGATTTAGAACCCATGGTGTTAAATTGACATCATGTTGCTCTTAATATTAACGATGAAAATTATATCGACCGAATAATGTTAAATCCACCCTGACATTTTTTAGAGTGTTCAAATGTGATTTGTTGATTCCTAAGCAAATAAGTCCCAAACTCATAAGACATCTTTGTCTTTAAAATGCCACTGTGTGAGTGAATATTTTCAAGTTTAGAAACTCATTCAAGTACAGGTTTTGTTAACAAAAGTTTTCGTGGTTTAAAATAACATTTAATAAAGTTGATATTAAGATTCATTTTTTATATATTAAAGTAGTATCAGTCGTGTAAAAATTCTTAATTACGTGAGCGAATTGTCACACAGAGTAATGTAACATTCCAAGGTTAAGAGATCTTTAAAACGTCTCGTGTCCCAATTTTGGACTTTGTATCGTTAATTTCTTCTCCATCCAAGATTTCGGAGTGATTCTTTCACGGAGAGAATGATTTTTTTTGGAATATCTGTAAATTTAGCTAAACACAGATCTGGAAATAATATTATTATACGACCGAAATAATTACTCATGCAGTACAAGACTCCAAAGAATATTCTGAGAATGTTTCTTGAGTAAAAAATGTGCTGTATGAATACATAGACACTCAAGCTGCTAGAATATCAAAATCTTTTGTAACATTGTCATCGGCGCCTCTCAGCTGTCTACATAATTATTATTTATTGTTCAACAAAGTTATTTTTAAATCTGCATGTAACTAAATTTTTAAGTACTCCAACAAAACCATTCTTTCCATGTAACGTCGCGATGTCTCGTTATGAAATCGACGCAGAAACGCCAGTCACGTTAATTCATTCGCATTAAAAACGTAATAAAAGAGCGATCAGCGACGCGAGTTCGAATATGAAAAAAAAAATAATACTTCAAGAGCGTGTAATTCGAGAAAGTCGACGAGTCTCTCGATTCTCGGAATTGTTCCCTCAAAGATCTGAGAAATTCCATGCCGCCCTTTCGAGACAATGAAATTTGCTCGGCATGCTCGCCGTCATCGATCGCTTCAATTCGCGACGTTAGAAACATCATCCTAGAACACGTGCTTCTTCCGCAGGCAGGTGAGACGTCAGAACGGCGCGTGCGAAACTCCGGTCCGCACCGTTTTGACAGATCTCTATTATCTCGCCGATAGATATCAGCTCGAATTCGTCAGAGATCGACTTTTCTAAATTACAAACCAAAATTGTTATCATATACTAATTGAAAGTTCTTGGTGCATTCTAAAAAAAATGAAGACGTAGATTTAACCCCACGCGTTTTAAATCATGTTGACGTTGGTATCAACTTCGGCACCCGAAAAGGCGAGGTGTTAACAGCAATGTCGTTCAATGTAAAAAGACCAAAAAAGTATAATGTAAATAAGAATTAAAATATAAAACAGAGAGAAGGACCTCACGCGATGTGACAAGTATAAATGTTGTGAAAGAATTTGTCGCACTTGGGACGTAAACGCGAGACGTAGTACGCCGATTGGCCGAGGTGGTCGCGCGGCGGCGAATGACGCAATATATCGCGCCGCGCGCGATATTTGCGAACGTGACCGTCCCGGGGTGCATCCATTGTCCGGCCGTGCACGGTGCATATCTTATCATCGCGATATATTCGCAGGCTGAATCACGCAGGCTCTCGAATAACGCGCAGGTGTAGATAAAGACCTCTCCGGGGTTGCGAGAAATGCAATTAACACGATGACGTCACGCGGCTACGAGAATAAAGCGACGTCTTCGCCACGCGCACACTTATTACCGAGATCTTACGAAAGTGGCGTGCAACACGCGCGCCGTTGTTTCGTTCATTCGTTGCGTCATCCCCCTTCCCCCTCCCCCTCGCCGTTACTGCTGCGGGGATAACCGGTGTTGTCAGGACTAAGAAACGCTTCTTATCAACTAAACGACGTACCAGGTTGAAGTAAATTGTATCAATAACTTATATCTATTCCTTTTATCTGCAATTTATTATATTATACTTTCTGCAGGCAAAGTAAAAATGTACAATTCTCTCTCAATCTCTCTCTCTCTCTCTCTCTCTCTCTCTCTTCTTTTTCACAAATGTGTATTCTGTTATGATATACAGAGCCACTAAAATTTTAATCGTTTAATTCAGAATTTCTCCAAAAAGAGAATTTTAAAATTGAATAATTCAGGATTTCACTGAACGAAGTCGAGAATAAAGTTGAATAGTCGGTAAATTTGATAAAATATTGTGATACACCTTTTCCGTGATTTTTGGTGCTCTTGTTATTTAGATCAAACATTGAATTTTTCTAATATTGTATCAAAAATTGTATGAGATATTGAAACTGCACGCTCTGAAAATATTGTGAAATTGAACAGCGTGGTATGGATTTAAAAGCCATGGAATTAAATCCACATCATATTGATGTAAATATTAACAGCAACACACAATGAGAGTTATAGTATACAGGCACACACATGGTATTAAATCCGCTCCAATATTTTTCAGAGGGTGCTAAATTTTTATCTTTTCTCGAAATGTAAATATCAAGGTACTTGTATATAATTAGAAAAGAGTATCAAATCTGGTGCTATTCTACCAAAGTCTGTACCTTCGTAAGGAGACTGTAAAACTTCACGTCGCGCTGTTTCGATTCCGCGCAGCGATCAGGATCGGTTAGAACGGAAAGTGCGCGACGTTCCGCCTTCGCGATACGAAATGCGTTTGCGAAATGCATCGCGATCAAGGATCAAGGTCGGATTTTATTTTTATCCTTTCGACACCGCCGTCGCCGTTCGCGCGCTCGGTTACGTGAGAAGAATCGATATTCTCGTCATACGTAAGACAGAGCCCTCTCCCCCTCTCTCCTATTAACAGCCAATTATAATTTAAAATCAACCAATCGCGACGAAATTGATTAATTGGGACACATTACGAAATCGAGATACGGCGATAGCGTTGCCCTGCAACGATCGATGCCCATAGTCGTTCCACGTGGCTGCGGCCAGTTACCAGAAGGAGCGAGATCCATCGATCGCGAGATCCTCTCTCGAAACGGGAACCTCCCCTCTCTCTCCCCTCATTACGCCGACCCCCCCCCCTTCCCCATCGATCTCCTCCCACCTCGCGCCGCGTGTCGCTACGGCTCTCTATCAAAGTGGGCCACGGCCCAATTTACGTAGGCTCTTTCAACCTCGTGGCGTAAAACCGTCCGTGCAATAAGCCTCACGGATTCCTGCCCGAAGGGCACGCACGTGCATTCCCCGCTCGGGAGATCGCTTAGAATCGGACGTGGCCCGATCCGTGGAATTGGAAAGGAAAAATCAAAAAGTCACCGCGACTGCAGGAAAAGCAGCTTTTCGTTCTCTTCATCGGATCTGTATAAACCAGTCGTATTAAAGAATCTTATAATAATTGCAAAGCTATTTTCTCTGTTAAACGCATTTACCATTGTATAATGTAATGTAATTACCCACTCTAACAATTAGATCGACAAATGGATAATAAATATAATTGTCATGATGACCTATCGTATACGCTGTAATTTTATTTAATATGATTTTTTGAACTATTCTCACGAAGATTATTCTTATAAGTGTACTACATATATTAAAGAGAGTCGGTATTATCTTGTTAATTATGTGAATAGAATTAATTTTTTCTTATTTAACGTACTCCTCAAATCTTTCAGGGAGAATCTCACTCTGAAGAGCGAAATCTCATTCTTAAAGATTGAAAACCGAGCTGTTTTCAAGACTGACTGAATTTTTTACTCTTTAGGATGAGATTCCACTCCAGAATTTAGTAGACTAACAAAGGCAAACAGAGATTAGATATATAATGATCGCAGAGATAACGAGTTGTATAAGGCCAGTAATAATTCTTTCTCTCCAACTTTGCACAGATAAATCGAATAAATATCGTTAAATAAATACAGAACTTTGTTAAAAAAATGTTTATATAGAAGAGACGATCAGTTTCGTAAGAGACGTTCGAGAAACTTCAACTCCGCACTCGGCGGCGATTAATCCGACGCGACTCCAAGTGCACTTGTTCTATATTTACAATAGAAAAGAATGAGCCGGCAGCACTCGATTGGAAATTCGAGACTCGGTTTCGATCGCGATTCGCGCGCTCCGGTCGCAGAGTTTCCGCGAAAGAGATCGGAGTTACCTGCCGATCGATACGGATATTTTGTAGCCGGCTAGCGGGGTGCTATGATCGCTGTCGTCAGAGAGCGGATTAGCGGTATCTCTGCGTTGCGAGGAAATATACACGTAATCGCAGGTGTTGTACTTGCAACGATCGCGAGTGTATAGCTACTGCTGGTTACGGTTCTCCCAGCTGTGTGCGCTTGTATGCGTGCGGCCGGATATACTGGCGATATCTAGGTTTGTACGTGTCGTCGCGTCTCGGACATTGTGGATTATACGTTGCGTCATCGGCCGTTCATCGATCACCACGATGTAAGAAGAGAGAGAGAGAGAGAGAGAGAGAGAGAGAGAGAGAGAGAGAGAGAGAGAGAGAGGGGGGGGGAAGAGAGAGAGAGAGAGGAACGGTGGGCGAGCAACGCGCTTTGTATCTGTTTGCGCCGCTCTATTTCTTATTTAAACGATATCGACGACAAACCCGCGACGATCATAGAATTTTAAGATTACACTGAAAGAAAAGTGTTTGTAGCTATAATT